AAAAGGAAATGACAAACATTTCAAAAAAAAAAAAAAAAAAAAAATCGTTACAAAAAAAAAAAATTAAAAACGAATGATCGTAATTAAAAAGGTAAAAAAAACATGTTTTTTGTTGATGATGAACGTTTTACATTCTTTTGCAACACACCTACCACCATTCACTTTTTTTGGTTCTTATATACAACCAAAAAAAACGATGATGACCCGTTCAAAAAAAAAAAAAAAAATTTTTTTTTAAAACGATAAACGATTTGCTCCAGAGCATTCATCGATTACGTATATTCATATTTCGAATTTTTCCTCCATCATCATCATCATTATCATTTTTTTTCTTTTTTTTTTTGTTCGAAATAATTATTTACGTTTCTGGAGAAAAAAATTATTATTATTATTATTTTTTTTACAAACATTATTAAATGGGTGAGTCTTCGAATCCTCGAGTTTCTAAATAGGGCAGGACAATGACGAATGTGGGATGGACCACGTCTTTGTTGACAAGAGAGGAAAAACAACAACACCCAACTCACGATTACGATACCATAATAATAATAATAATAATAATTGAATTTTTCACGGACACCCATTCCTTTACATTTTCTTCCCTTTTTTCCTTTTGGTATTTGAAAAATTCACACGAAATGATTTTAATTGTTAAATTTCTGAAATTTGGGGGGACTGCACGCGCACTCGCTCGATTCAATAAAAAAAAAACCTTTTAAATTAATTATAAACAAATTACAGGCGAATCTCAACAATGTTGTTACAAACGATGCCCTGAAAACCCTCTGGCAAGATGATGAGTAAAGAATTACATTGAAAAAAAAACAAAACAAAAAAACCCAAACGTAATCTGAGCAAGAGGAAGAAGAAGAAACGTTTTTTGAGACTCACTGGTGAGTTTTTATATTTCTTATCACCCTTAGTTTTAACTTGATAAGAATGGTTTGTAAAAGAGACCCCAACGCCATCATCATCATCATCATCATCATTATCATCATCACCACCTCCATCATCATCATCATCTCCGTCATCATCATTATCATTACTACATCCAGCATCATCAGCATCATCATCAGCATCAGCATCATCATCATCATCAACTTCATCACCATCATTATCATTATCATTACTATATCTAGCATCATCATCATCATCATCAACGCCGTCAACATCGTCAACAATCTCACTAATATCATCATCATCATCATCAACTCCATCACCATCACCATCATTACCATCACTATCACTATCATTATCATCGCCATATCCATCACCATCAGCACTATCGTCATCATCAACATCATCATCACCATCTACGTCATCATTTACATTATCATCATCATCATCACCTTCATTAGCATTACCATCTCCATCTATATTATCATTAATATCAACATCATCACTGTTTCCATTACATTTTTATTAGCATCTCCAGCATCATCACCAACATCTCCATCAGCATTACCATCATCATCATAATCATTACCATCCTTACCATCCCCTTCGTCATTCTCTGCTGTCGTAAAGGGAAAAATAGAATACGGGAAAAGAAAAATTAGAAAGTAAGTAATAATGATGATGATGATGAATAAGTTTTTGTTCTTTGAAATAATAAAAAAATCAAAAGTTCATTTCCTGTTATCGATAATAATAATAATAATAAATACCCGTGAAATAAATAAATTAAAATTTCATGTTCGCTTATGCAATTTTCTTTTTTTTTTTTTTTTTTTTATAAATGCGTGTTCAGGTTCGTGGTAACAGGTTTCACATTGATTTTATTAATTTATTACTATGAATTATTATTACGTTTATTTTTCGAAGCTTTTGATTTTTTTATTATTTCTTTCCCATAACGTCAGTCAGGTGTGTGACGTATCGAGTTTGGTTAAGAAAAAATGGCGGATGTATGAATAGTAAAGAGAATGTTAAAAGCTTTTCGTGGGGTCTCTTTCGTTTAACCATTGTTTAGATATAAGAACGACAAAGATGTGTAGAATTTTCTAGAACATACGACATACGACAACCTTTTCCTTTTCGTCGTGACGACCTAGGGGGGGGAAAAAAAAACGGTTTTCACGGTTGACTCGAATTCGTACCTTTTTCCGTCCCACGTAAATATTTCGGGGTCGAATGAATCGTTGTCCACGTCGTCCATGATCTGTTTTTTTTTTTAAACGACGCCTTTTTTTTTTTCCACGCGGGGTAAAAAATAGAAAGAGAGAAATTAAAGTCCGTTAACTTTTCGTTAATGCCAAAAAAAAAGAAAAAGAAAAGCCGATAAAAAAAAAAAATTGTTAATTTCTATTTCAAAATGGCGATTAGTTTTTGGACTTGGTGTTAGGAAAGCTAAATGCTTTGTCTGAATTACATAACTACCAACTGTTAAAAAAAAAAAAAAATTTTTTTAATGTTTCTTCTCTAATTGTAAAAAAAAAAACCTCAACCTTGTTAAAATCTAGAAGATATCCTTTTTTTTTACTTTAAAATTGAGAAATCTTCGTTAAATTTGTGTGTGTGTGTGTGTAGGGGGGCGGGGATTTTAAATAGTTTTCAAAACGTCGACAAATAACCGACCGACTTGCTAAATATTTCTCTCGTTTTTATATATATTTTTTGTTTACATTCTCTATGACATTCCAATTCGGTGATTCGAACGTTTTTTATATAAATGACAATACGAATTGTTTATTCGAAAATTTTTTTGAATTTCCCGCGTTTTCCCGCCACTCCCCTTTCGACAAAGTGAAAAAAAAACCTTTTAAAAATATTAACGGTTAAATTGTTATCGATAAAGACTCGTTTTTTTTTTTTTTTTAAATTGATAATATTAAGGAAAATTAATTAAAATACCAAAAGGAAACCGGATTTTTTTTTTTTTTTTTTTTTTCTTCAAAAAGAAAATTAATTTTATTTTAAAAAAAGGCGGGGAAAAGTTTTTTTTTTTTTTGTTTAAATTTTTAAATCGCGTTCTCGAACTCGGTTTTAAGTTCACGTCCGTTATTAATTAAAATTTATAACGAACCCGTGATTTTTATTTATTATTATTATTATCATTTTTTTTTTATTACCGGGGGGTAATTAAAACAAAATTAATTTTTTTTTTTTTTTTTTTTTTTTTTACTATCCTTCCATCGTCAGGGTAATTTATTACGTCATTAATTTTTTTTTTTATTATTATTGATTTTTTTCTAACCATTTCGGACTTTGAAAAAAATTTCCTTTTTTGACAAAAATAATAATAATAATAAAATTTTCTTACGGTCGGCGTCACGTCCTTGAGTAAAAAAAAGAAAATCATTTTATTACGTAATAAAATATTTAATTAATTTTTTTTTTTTTAATATTTTGCGATTATATGAATTAGGGCAACGAAATACATTTTTCATTTTTTTACGACGATCGTCGTGGAAGAAGACGAAACAAAAAAAAAAAAAACAGCTTTCGTCAAACGTGTAACCATAAAAATCGACCTTAATTCACAAAAAAAAAAAATTTTAATTTAATTAAATGATAATGTCACGTATTTCGCATTTCGGCGACAAAATTCTCTAACGGTTTTGCACGGATAGGATATGGTGCGACGCGTCGCGTCGCGCCGCGCGCGCGCTCCTCCGTCGGTTTCCGGTACTTTTCCGATGACGTCACGTGACGTAAACGAGAAAAATTTTCAAAATTAACGGTTCGAACGGACGTTAAATTTAAAATTTAATATTTATTTCACCACGTGGGGAAAAAAAAAAAACCCCTCGAATTATCATTATTATTCATTTTTAAAAATTCACATCCGAACGTGTAAAAATTCAATTAACGAACGCCATTACGTGAATTCGAAGTAATAATTAAAAGTAAAAAAAAAAAATATTCGAAATTATTTTTTATTTTTATTTAAAAAGATTTAAAAATGACTGACTGACTGACTGACTATTACGACATCATACGAAAAAAAAAAAGAAAGTAAAGTAAACGTGGATTCTTTTTTTTTTTTTTTTATATAAAAGATTCCAAACACGCACACGCACACACACACAGGCAAATCGAGGTCACGATAATTATTATTATTATTTTTTCTTTCTTTCTTTTCGCCTTACACGCGCGAAAAGGATTCTTTTCTTTTCGAATGCGATAATAATAATAAATAATAATAATAACAATAATACTACAACCGTCGATGAATACGTCAAAGGTAAATTTGTCGCAAATTGACAAAATAATAAATCAATCGATGTCGTTATAACAACAATCGATTTCTAACAAGGTTAGGTTACGTTCGATTTTCTAACGGTTTTTTTTTTTTTATTTGTAAATGAAATTTTTGTTTTTTAAAAACTTTCTTTGATGATATATTTTTTAGTTTGTTTCGTTTCGTGTATTTAATATTAATATATAAATTTTTGGCAGATTTGAAATAAATATCAAAAGACGTGTGTGTGTGTGTGTGCGTGCGTGCGTGCGTGTGCGTGGTTGCGTGTGGTGCTGTTCTTTCAATCTTTTGGCAATCGATACGTTTATACATATATATATATATATGAACATACACATTTAACATACACAGTCTTTTATATATATACACACACAAATTTTAATGTGAATCGGAAACGTCGTTCCGGACGTAATTGAGAGAGAGAGAGAAAAAGAGGGAGAGAGAGAGAGAGACTTTCTTATGACACGACACGATTTCAAATTGATTCTTCGCCATTTATTATTTTGGCTCGGTTAGGGTTTTACCACCACACACGGTTTTATACAACAACAAGGTCGGCAACGTCGCATGAGTCGATATTACTTGTTAGTATTATTATTATTATTATTGTTATTTCCCTGAAAAGGATTTATCGAAAGGAAACAAGGTTGAAAATAAAAACGTGGCAGGAAGGATAAAATAAAATAAATTTTAATCACTTACCTCGTTGCGAATGATTGTTTGGCTATAGTCTAATATCCCGATGATTATTATTATTATTGTGGATTTCCTTTTTTATTTCTTCTAGTGACACGAGTCATTTTCTGATATACTGTATGATTTTACTGGATCTTTTAGTTTTTCGCCTTTTCCGTTCGATTTGTCGTCTACCTCTGGCAGCGTTCGCTTCCGCATTTCTCGCGGCAATCGCGGCTTTGTACGTCGCTTGCCTTATGGCGTTCAAATCGTTTTTAGCAACCGTTAGTTGCCTGCACAAAGCATCCGCTCGTGCTTTTGCTGCTTCCACGAGTGCCGCTTTTTCTGCTAGCTCTTGCTGTGCTCCTTCCGCTGCTTGTTGCGTCGACATGAATGTCGTTTGAGATATTTGCAATGCTCCCGTCAGCGTTTTTAACTGTAACGATGATATCAATTATTAATATTTAAATTTCAAAACGTCGCCATGTTTTTTTTTTTTCACTCTTTCGAATCAGGGTTAACTGGGTTTCTAATAAAAATTATTTTTTGTCGTCGAATGTCGGTCAATTAAAAAATAATAATGTCTGATGCGCGTTTTTTTGGCATTTAAAATGAAGGTCTGACTAATTTGATTGTGACTGTGCGTGAGCGTGCGTGCGTGCGTGCGTGCGTGCGTATGAGTTACGCAAATGCGAAGCATGTTAAAAAAAAAAAAAAAAAAAAACTAACTAAAAATCCCGCTTGAGCAGCAGCACCCAATGCGGCACGTAAATTGTATTGAGTTTGCTGACACGATGAAGCTTCTTCTTGTACCACGGCTTGAGCTTCTTTCATTTCGTGTTCTAATTGTTCGACCATTGCTAATTTTCCCGCTAGTGCAGCTTCGGCCGCTCTATATGCTTGCTGTGCTTTTTCCGCGAGTTGAGCTCTCACCTGTAAGAAACAAAACAAAAATAAAATCATTTTTTGTCGTACAAACAGAAAGAATCGTAACGGGGGAGGGGGGAGGAAAAGAATTTTATTTAAAATTACCTGATGTGATGCTTGTGCACCCGCCATCATTTGTGCATCTTGAGCTTCTTTGGCTTCCGCTGCGGCTTTCATTGCAATGTTGTGACTTTTAATATCTTTGTGAGCGTTATAACATGTTTGAACACACGTTGTTGATTCTTTTTTATTGTTCTTCTTTGACATTAACATTAAAAAATAAATTTTATAAATTTTTTTTTTCGTTTTTGAGAGAGAAAAAGAGAGAGAGAGAGAGACACACACACAGCCACAGAGAGAGAGGGTGAAAGGAATACACAGACACAGAGAGAGAGGGTGAAAGGGACACACATACACACAGAAGGGAAGAAAGAGTGAGAGATACACACAGAGTGAGAGAGAGATTGAATTGCTCAACGTGACGAGACACGGAGAGTTTAAAATTACATAAAAAATTTTAAACGTGACAATTTATTACCTTACGCATAAAAAAAAAAAAAAAAAAAAACTCGTTGCAGGTGGTAAAAAAAAATTATTTTTAATGTCACGAAACATTAAGAAAAAAAAAAAAAAAAAAAAAAAAGCAAGCGTCCATTTTCCTCATACGCATTCACTTAAAATCGGGTTCGTTTCTTAGACTTTGCGGTACCGACGACGACGACGACAAAAAAAACTTTCGCGCCGAAATATAAGTAAGGGAAGGCGGTGGTTGAAAATATGACGTCATATAATGCAATTTCTCCCTTTTTAAACGTAAATTGACATTTAATCAATCAATAATGAAAAAGTAGACAATCATTTTTAAATCGTCGTGGTAGTAGAAAAAAAAAACCGGTTCGAGACACGTGGAAAAAATTTTTAATATTTAAAATTTAGCAAACAACCGAATTTAAAAAAAAAAAAAAAAAAAAAATTATTTAATTGTTTGTCATTCATTGTACGAAACGTGAGATTTGGTTAATCGGATTATATCCCCATTTATTTATTTTTCCTAACGTATCATCTCGATCGGTATTATTAATAATAATAATAATTATTATTAATATTATTATTTACATAATTTTAATTTATAACGTTACGTAATTAAACGCTTCATCTCTCTCTCTCTCTCTCTCTCTCTTTCCAAATATCTTTGTTTGCATGTCTCTCTCTCTCTCTCTCTCTTTCCAAAATATCTTTCTTCGCATCTATCTCTCTCTCTCTCTCTCTCCCTCTCGTAAAGTGATACTTAAAAAAAATTTTTATTAAAACGATTGACAATTTCGTCATTTGATAATAACGACGACGACGGTGACGATGACGTAATCATAACGAACGGATTAAATTCTACACATAATAATAATAGTAATGATTTATATTTTAATTAAGAAAACGACGAAACCGTTCGGTTGACATTAACCGTGCCACGATGATACTATAATAATAATAATAAACCGGTACGTAATTAAAAACGTGGTTAAACAAACTCGTTGCACGTGTTTTACGCGTGCGGCGTGCGTTCGCGAACGTACACTTAACATAGGTTTGAATTGTTTTAAATCTCTTACCAAATCACAATTACTACACGAAGTAGATGAATTTTGAGAGTTAGTAGGAACGGGAGAAGAAAAACTTTTTTCACACGAATTTAAAATATCTAAAACAAAATAAAAAAAATTATAAACAAAAAAGTGATGGGTTCCCATCTTTAACCAATACTTAACATTGTTTCCAATGTTTGTTATCGTTAACGTTTAAAAACAAAACAAACAAATTTAATAATAATAATAATAATAATGATGGTGTACTCACGCATAAAAAATAATAAAAAATAAAAATTATTCATAATTTAATATTAACATATAAAAAAATAACGACGTCCGACGGATGACGGATTAATATTTTACTATTATTACTATTATTATTATTATTATTATTATTTTCTTCGTTTTGTTTACATTTATGAAATTACGTTTGTTTGCGTTCGCACACACGGAAAACGTGACGCGGAGAAGAAGACATTTTTAAAAATTTTCCCTTTAACATTTTTGTTTTCTGCTTTAAATAAATAATAATAATAATAATGATAATAATAATAAATACATTACGAGTTCGCGGGTGTAAATAATAAAGAGAAATGAAGTGAGGAGGGGAAAAAAAAAAAAAAAAAAAAAAAAAATTTGAATTTGAATTAGAAATATTTTAATGTTCGCGAACGCGTTCGGGGAGGTGTGAGTTCACCCTGCAAAAAATTAAGCTATGCTTTTTGTCGTACGCGGTAACATTGCAATGAAAGTAGAACGTTTAAGTTAAGGCGTTTGCCTGTCAAAAATAACATATCCGTTAATGATGATGATACATACCGTTTACCGTCGCGAAATTCCGCCATTTTTTTTTTTTTTGTTTTGTTTTACGGGAAGTAATTCGTAAGTTCTTTGATTGATTGATTGATTGATTGACTGACACGACGTGTAAAATGGAGATCGGATGAGAGAGAGAGAAAGAGATAGCGATAGTTAAACGTTGCAAAAAAAAAAAAATTTTGAGGCATAATAAAAAATAATTTGCGAGAGAGAGAGAGAGAGAGAGAGAGAGAGAGAGAGAGAGAGAGAGAGAGAGAGAGAGAGAAAGAGAGAGAGAAAGAGAAACAGAGAGAGAGAAAGAGAAAGAGAGAGAGAGAAAGAGAGAGAGAGAGAGAGAGAGAGAGAGAGAGAGAGAGAGAGAGAGAGAGAGAGAGAGAGAGAGAGAGAGAGAGAGAGAGAGAGAGAGAGAGAGAGAGAGAGAGAGAGAGAGAGAGAGAGAGAGAGAGAGAGAGAGAGAGAGAGAGAGAGAGAGAGAGAGAGAGAGAGAGAGAGAGAGAGAGATGATCAAAATGGACTCATAACGAACAGACGAATTTATTTATTTCACAAATTTAATAAACGTCACGTCAGCGGATTAAAACGTGTCGTTAATAATTTTTTTCCGTTACGTAATTTTAATTATTTCGATAAGTAAATAATTTTCTAATACGATAACCGGAAATCTATACGAACAACAAAAGAAATTACACGACAATCACATCCTAGAACACGACAACGATGTTAAAACAAACAAACAAACGAAACATTATATCAAAAGCGTAAAAAACAAAAATCGTCGTGGAATTAACGAATTATATTTCATAAAAAAAATATAGGAAATGAAAGAGGACAAACAAAACCCATTTAAAAAAAATGATAATAATTTTAAACGTGGAACTAACTACATCGGGGGGGGGGGGAAACAAACCGAATTGAAAAAAAACGTCGATTCGAATCCTTTGGAAAATTTCAAAAAAAAAAAAAAAAAAAAAAAAATGACTGACGAACGTTTTAAATTATCATCGACATGATAAAAACGTTACAAAAAAAAAAATTAAATAATAATAATTTTTAACTATTAGACAATTTTAAAAAACGCGAAAACGGTTAAAAATTATTTAATTTACTCTAATGTGAAAATAATGTGTGTAATTTTGTTGTAAATTAAGGAAACCAACCGAATAATAATATTAATAATAATAATAATAATAACTCAGTTTAAAATCATTTAAAATTAACAACATAACACCTTATGTAAATAAAAATTACTATTGCCACGAACAATCCAAAAAAAAAAAAAAAAAAATCAATAATTATTATTACCGATCGTCGTCATCCTTTGTTTACCGTTTTGCAACTACTACTGAGATATAACGGAGAAATATCATAGAGTAAATAAACGTATATGATGCGATGCGCACGCGAATAAAAGCGCGCCAATATAAACAATTTAAATTTAAATTTTAAATAAAAATATATATTGATTTATAATAATAATAATAATAAATAATTAACTAATACGATAATAATAATAATTAATTAATTGAAAGCAATTTAAATATTAAATAATAATAATAATGACGTTAAATAAAGTTTTTTTTTTTTTTTTTTTTAACTATATAATAATGATTTTTATTAAGGCACCAGTTGAAAATATGTTTCGTTTAAGGTTTTTCCGGGAAAATGTCGAAGTGGGGGAGGGGGGAAACAGTATGGAGGAAAGAAGGGGGAAAAAAAATTTAAGTGTTATGTTGTAATCATCTTTGTTTGTTGTAGGTTGAAAAAAATGAGAGAGCTTTCATTAGTTGATAACTTTTAGATATTGGAATGTTTGAATCGTAGAGTTTTTTCGATGATTTACAATCAACGTAAAACCACCAATTGCATTTCAATATCGATTGATCGAAAAGTGTCGATTCCGGACATAGAAAACTTTTCATTATGAGTCCGTCGTCCGTGAAAGCGCAAACGTGAAAAACCTGAAAAAAAAAAAAAAAAAAGTGTAAGTATTATTGTTGTTGTTGTTGTTGTGTTTACGAATGACTGAACGCGCTCGCGTGGTGTATTTTAATCGATTTTAAAAAAACACGCTATACCCCTTTACTACGTCACGCGTGACGTCATTTTAGACAAAAAATAATGCGTGCGAATTGATGATATCGACGATTCGATTTATCGAACGTATCGATTTTAGTTTTATTTTTTACCGCTGATCCTTTTTTCGTCGCTTTACATTTCGCGGGTATTTACGCAACGCGTTTTTTTAAAAATAAAATGGGGCGTAAATTTTTTTAAAATTTTAACCGATAATTACGTCACGTGTGCGAGAAAGAGGTGGGGAGGGAGAGAGAGAGAGAGAGGGGAGGGGGAGAAAAGGCGGGAAAAAATTTTGATATTAAAAATTGCAAATACTCTATGAAATTTTTATATTAAAAAAATGGCGGATGATAATCGATTATTATACCGCGGAGAAAGAAAAGAAAAAAAAAGTAGTAATAATAATAATAAATCAATAATAATTATTGACCTTAGTCGAAACGTACATTATTATGTATAGAACTCGTACGAGTAAAATTTAATTTAATTTTTTTTTTTTTTCTTCTCCACCGAGGTCGTCCTAATTACTTTTCATTCACCGCGTTTTCCTTAGCACTCTCTCTCTCTCTCTCTCTCTCTCTTTCTTTCTCTCTCTCTCACATACATACATATATTTTCTTTTCTCCCTTGAAAAAATTTTCCAATTAATATTCAATTTTCAAATCGGGTTATTATATCATTTAATAATTAAATTGAAGGTGATGATCGATTTTGAAAGGGAAAAAATTATTTTTTTTTTTCGATTATTTTTACAGATTAGTTACTAACGAGAAAACGGACAAACAAATAAACAAACAAGTGTACCTGAAAACTGGCCGACCCATTTCATTGAGGACAAGTTAATGGTAAGTTTTTTTTTTTTTTCCGAAAACAAAATTAGTAAAACAAATATTTAGTTCGATTATTTATTTGGGAAAAGTTGAATGAATTATTCGAATTTAAATTTCAAACGGAGGAGAGAGAGAGAGAGAGAAAACAGAAAAGAGAGTGAGAGAGAGGAAAGAGCGAAAGGAATGAAATAAAAAAGAGATAGGGGAAAGAGAAAGAGAGAGTGAGAGAGAGAGGAAAGAGCGAAGGGGAAGAGAGAAAAAAGAGAGTGAGAAAAGAGAGAGATAAAAAAGAGAAGGATAGGAGAGAGAGAGAAGGAGTGAAAAGAGCGAGAAAAAGAGAGAGAGAGAGAGAAGGAGTGAAAAGAGCGAGAAAAAGAGAGAGAGAAGGAGAGAAAAGAGCGAGAGAGAGAGAGTAAGAAGGATAGGAGAGAGAGGAGAGAAAAGAGCGAGAGAGAGAGAGAGAGAGAGAGAGAGAGAGAGAGAGAGTAGAGAAGGATAGGAGAGAGAGAAGGAGAGAAAAGAGAGAGCGAGAGGGAGAGGAAGAAGGATAGGAGAGAGAGGAGAGAAAAGAGCGAGAGAGAGAGAGAGAGAGAGAATCGAGAAGGAGAGGAAAGAGAGAAAGGAAAACGAAAGAAAGAGAAGGAGAGGGAAGAGTGAGTGAGAAAGAGAAGGAGAGGGAAGAGTGAGTGAGAAAGAGAGAGAAGAGGAAATAAAGAGTGAGAAAGAGAGAGAGAGAAAAGAGCGGGAAAAAAGAGAAAGCCAGAAGAAGATGAAAGAGAGAATGAGAGAACAGAGAAAATGATAGAAAGAAAAACGAAAGAGAGTGAAAGAGAGAGAAAAGAGCGAGTAAAAGAGAGAGAGAGAGAGAGAGAAAAGAGCGAGTGAAAGAGAGAGAGAGAGAAAAGAGCGAGTGAAAGAGAGAGAGAGAGAGAGAGGTTAATCGGATTTAATGGAAAATGTCAAAGTAATTTTTAGGAGAGTCTATTACACAAATTGATTTTAATATTTACATTTAAATTTCTCAACATTTGATGCTATTGTTTATGTTTTATGTTTCTTATTGAGCAATAAAAATTAATAATTACGTTTGTTGTTTGTTTGTTTGTTTGTCGTTTGATTTTTTTTATTACTAAAATTTTTTCGATGACAACAACAACAACAACAACATTTGACGATTTGATTGTTTTTTATATCACACGTACGACCTGGAGAAAAAAAATTCTCGTTCTTTGTATTTTTTAATGAAATTGGAATTTAAAATCTAACGTGATGGAGACACCATCTCTCTCTCTCTCTCTCTCTCTCTCTCTCTCTCTCTCTAATGAAAACGTTACAAAATAATTATTAATTATATATGGGCACGTGTGATCGTCACGGTATTCAAACACCTGGAAAAAAATTTTTCCACTCTGTTTAGCAAATCCGTTTTAATCGCGTAATAGTAACATATTAGAATGGATTAACGAATTAAAAAAAAATTGGATTAAAATTTTGTATTAACGGATTATATGAATAGAGTGGAAAAAAATGGGGGGGGTAATGAAGAAAATGTTTGATGGGGGGGGGGGGCGCGTAAATGAGAAAAACCTAAAGGGTCGTGTTAAGACTCACTCGTATCGCCCCCTTTCATTTAACATTAAATAATTTTATAAGGTTAAAAAAAAAAAAAAAAATTTATCGTTGCGAAATTAACGGGGGATTTTTTCGGGGGGCGGGAGACGTTTCATAGCACGTTCGAAAATGGTAAAATAAACCCGACCTTGAATTTTTTTTTTTAATTTCTCTATGGAAAACTTTTTAATTGTTTTTTTTTTTTTTTTTGTAATTTAAACTCGAATGAAAAAAAATTACTCGTTTTTTTTTAAATGTCACGTTAGAAATTAATTTTAATGGCATACTTGTTGTTGTGTCCGACATTTTTTTTTAAATATGGCGGTTAAGAAATTATTTACTCACCATGCATCCTAAATCTTCGTCGGCGTATAATCCGGGAAAATGTTTTTGTTCACCGCAATAGAAAGAAGTTTCCGGAAGTTCGACTTTCGATACGAAATTATCGTCGAAATTTTTTTCGTAGCCGACCGGATAATATTCTCTGGGCGCGTTCATTACTCTACTCGGAGCTGCCAACGGATATTTTCTTGTTGGTTCCGAAACGTACCGTTCGGGAATTGGCGGCGCTATAGTCGTCGTCGTCGTACTCGTCGTGGATTTAACGATTTTTTGAGTTTTTTGCTGTTTTAACAATTGTTGTTGTTTTTGATTAATAGCTTGGGCAATGGCTTCGGCGGAAACGTTCGTGGCAGCAGAAAGAGTTTTAACAGTGTCGCCCATCAAACCCGTTTTAAAAACGTCTGACGATGATGATTTTATTTTTTCCGTCGTTACGGAATTAGAAACGGGTATAGCCGTTGGAAGAAGTTTACCACTTCCGGTATTTGATATTCTATCGATTTGAGACGGCGGTACGACGTTTATTACTTGAGGTCCGTTTGTCGATATGACGGGTGCTCTGTGAGTGAGTTTGTTGTTGTAAAGATGTTCGGCAACCGAAGATTGCATCTGGAAAAAAAAAAATTCAACGATTAAATTCGAACGTGGCGTTCGTTTTTCATTATTTGTTTTGAATACGTACCCCGAAATTATTCGTAGCCGCCTGCAGGGCATTTTTAAAAGCTTGCGGAGCTTTTACCGACGTTTGGATTTTCGATACGGATAATGGAAGACCTTGAAAATTAGGTATCGAATTGACTGTGAACGTGGGATGTCTAACGGGTCTCGTACCGTTCAAATCAACCGTCATGACGTTACCGACAGCGTAACCCAAAGGACTCGCAGCCGCTGGTTTTTCAGGCGGTGGAATCGGTTTAAAGGGTGGAATCGTAGAAGGCTGTGAATTTGTTTTATACGTTCCACTCGGTGATCTTAAACTCGATCCCTGATACATTCTACCCGTTTCAGCTATTGCTTTTTTACTGCCAACCTAAAAAACCCCCAAAAAAAAAAAAAAAAAAAAAAAATTAAAAATTTTTTGCATTTCGGGAAAAATGTGCGTAGTGGGAAAAAGTTGTATCGTTAAAGTTTTCACAATAAATAAATGCGTGTGTGAGGGGCCCCACGCACACTCACACTCACACGCACACACACACACACATGAGTTTTTTAAACTTTCTATTTCCAAAGAGCTGATATCCTTGATTATTTCGCAAGTAATTTAAAGTTCGAGTGACCCGGGGCAAATATTATTATTATTATTATTATTATTAATATAAAACAAAGGGTTGCATTTCTCTTTTTTTTTTTTTAAATTTTTCACGATTTCATTAACGTGTATTTTACGATGAATAAAATTATAAATAATTATCGACTTTGTGCAAATTATTAAAAAATATGTATATGCATGACCTTTCACATACAATACAACCTTTCGTTTGACGTCATCAAAGTGTGAAAATTATTAATTTTTTTTGTTTTTTTTTGTTTCAGGTACAGGTTGATTGCGTAAAGAACAAAGAAGAAAGAAAATTAAAAATTTTGTAAATATTTTGAAAGTAAACGACGACAACGACGATGGTTGGGGTCAATGGGGGCAAAATCGACGGTAAACATTTCGAAAATTTGAGTAAGTTTGTTTTTTTTCACTACTTAAAAAAAAAATTTTTTTTATTTTACATCCGTTTTCAAAACGAACGTTAAATTTTTACTTTGGGTTCAACCCCCCATTCTGCCCCCCTCTCGTCTCTCTCTCTCTCTCCCCTTTCGAAAATTTAATTTTAATGATTTTTTAAAAGGGAAAAAAGCGTAAATGAAAAAATTCCTATGCGAAAATCACGTAATATTAATTTCGTATACACGTGTCACTAACATTTTTTAAATTCTTACACGTTCGCGGTAAAAATTTTTAAAAAAAATTTGGCAACGTTGTTTTAAACCCTTTCATCGAAAAGTAATCCGGTTGAATTCGGTGGTTTCCCCCGCGATTATTTAAATACTAAACATTTTTTAAAAAATTTTTCCCCGCGCGCCATTTTGATTAATTATTGTCGTCTGCTGTCGTTTTTATCTATTCGAAATAAAAGCGGAAACGTTTTTGTTTGTGACGTCATTAAACGATGAAAAAAATTCTTTTATCCCCCATTATTTAAATTTCAATCGATATATCGAACGAATTATTTTTTAAATAAAAAAAAAAAAAAAACGATATTTCTCGTTTTGCCAAACGTCACCCAACCTGATTTTGTAGTGAGTGAGACAAAGAGAAAGAGAGAGAGAGAGAGAGTGAGTGTGTGTGTATTTATTATTATTATTATTATTATATTTAGCAATTTAACTTTCCCTTGTGTGTGTGTGTGTGTGTGTGTGTGTGTGTGTGTGCGTGCGTGCGTTTATCATTTAATAATAATAAATTATAAGAAAGAATCGGTCGGTTGGATTTTATTCGTTATTTAAAGTTTTTTCACGTTTCGAATGATGATAATAATAATGATAATAATAATAAATATGAGAAATTTCCAGTAATTTCGAAGGAGAAAAAAAAAAAGTCAATCAATTGCAAATAAATAATCGTTGGTAACAAATCATATTGAGTAATCGAATCCCGGGTTTTTTTTTTTTTTTTATGCATAAAAATTGACTTCGACCGACTCGTTTCTTAACGTACGAAAAAAAAAGGTCAAATCATTATTATCATTATTATCATTATTATTATTATCATTAAGGAAAAAAAATTTTTCCCGTGTGACTTACTCCGTTTCCGTTACCACCATCATCACCGAAATTATTATTAAAATCCCCTGCGCTTCTCCCATTCGTAGATCTTCTTTTATTCCCTTCTAAATTAGAAAGGGATTGACCGAATCCCAATTCGTCACCGAGACTGAATCCTGAAAGATATAAAATGATAATAATAATAATAAAAGTAATTACGTAGAGTACGCGGGGTTCGTATCGCACAGTAAGAAAAAAAAAAAAAAAAAGTTAGTTAATTGGGTCAAGTAGTAATTATTTGTATTATTAACCTTGGAGACAATGTTTTAATAAATGCTAATAATAATAATAATAATATTAATATTAATGTTAATAATAATAATAATGATAATATTAGGAGGAGGAAAGTCGGGAAAAAAAAAAAATAGAAAGTCACGACGACAAACGAACGAAATCGAAGACTGACCGATGACTATCATTATTATTATTATTGTTATTTATAATTGAATAAGAAGAACGCGTAGCATATCCGGTTCCTTTTAAAACAAAACGCATTTCACGCGTTCACGCATTTTTACGCGCGCGTTTTCACTTTTTCTTCCTTACCGCGGAGATAAAACGAACGCCCCCCTTTTTTCCTTCTCCTCCTCCTTCTTCTCCTCCTCCTCCTCCTCCTCGAAAATTAATTATTTTTAATGGACGATCATCCATTCGTTAAACGCGTGCGTACGTTCACGCACAATGCGTACAATTAATTTAATTTCCCCTCCCCCTCCCTTGAGACTTTAAACGACCTTAAAATGACCTTAGCGGACATTTTTAATTTAAAACAAAATGTCTCCCGTCTGTCTGTTTATTTTATTATTATTATTATTTTATTTTCGAAATCGCACGGTGACAATTTATTATTATCATTATTATTATTATTATTATAAAGTTAATGATTGTTGGCAAAGGTTTGCTTTAGGGTTAAGCCCTCGACACACCTAGAGCCACAAAGACTTTTTTTTTTGTCGTTTATGATTCGTAACCTCATTAATGTCTTCGGGCTTTGAAATTTTTTTTTATATATATATAAAGCTAAATATGTATAAATAATATTTTTCCTTATTTTATTTCGCGCGGGAAACGGAATATTATTATTATTATTATCATCATCATCATTATCATTATCATTATTATTATTAAAACGGTCCGTTTTAGGGTTCTCATAAGGAAATAGTTATATTGTTCTTGTAAGTTATATTGTTCTTTTCCCGTTTACTAGGTGATATGTAACGCGTCAAATTTTTTTTTGTTTTTTTTTTTTTTTGTAATGTTGGCAACGTGAAAGAGAACAAATTTTAAATATAAAAAAAATTATAATAATAATCACGCAATAGGATAAATAAGTTTTTTTTTTTTTATGTTTTGAATGTTGGCATTACTTTTTTTTTTTTTTTCTATTTGCGAAACAATAAAAATTTTAAATTGTTAAGAAATTGAAAGCGTATAATAATAATAATAATAATAATTTGATTTAGATCACATCGAAATGTTTATATGAATAAATAATAATAATAATAATAATGGTGAGAACGAATTTTTTTTTTATGCGAGTAAATATAAATTTAGATTTTTGGCGCGTAATTTAAATTTCATTATCCGGGATTTAATATAGATATATCGAGAATGATTTTTGACGTGGTACTATGACGACAGGGAATAATCGATTCGTAATCGATTAATCGATTATTATTATTATAATAACAATAATAATGCCGACGATGACGATTCGTTTTATTGTGTTTGATGATAATAATAATAATAATAATAATAATTGACTGACAATGAAATTTAAAAAAATTAGTTCTAATAGAAAAAGATGTATATACAACGAACAAACGCCTCTCACATACGTAAAAACCCACCACGATGATGATGATGATGATGATGATAATTTAATTTCGTGAGTTTTAAATGGCTTCCGAAATTTTCATCGACTTTTTTTCTTTTTTTTTTTTTTTTTTTTGTTTCTTCTTTTATGATATCAATCAAGAACTACCTGAACTACCTGAATTATATAAATTTTTTTTTTTTTTTAATTACTCGTAATTTTTCGAAAAGAAAATCATAATAACGATGGAAAGTTTTCGCGTTTGTTGTTGTTGTCGTTGTCGAAACGTTTGTACAAAAAAAATTAATTTTGATTAATAAAAAATTTTAATTTTGATTAATAACCTTATTATTATTATTATTATTATTATTATTATTATTAAAACAACAACAACGTTCGAATTAATATAATAACTCTTTTAAAAAAAAAAAAACGTTTTTTTTTAATACGCACGACAATGACGCGACAATTTTTAAGTTTTTTTTTAAATTGTTTAAGTTGGCAGCTCTGAAATTAAATTTTTTATTTTATTTTTCTCACTCACTTTAATTTTGAATTGTGCGATATTCGTTTTAATTTTTTTTTTTTTTAATTAACGCCGATTATCAATTTTTTTTTTTTTAAAAACGAAAAAAGAAAATTTTTTTAGGTGGTTTTGCATTTTAAAGTGAAAGTTATTATTATTATCATTATTATTATTATTAATGTTATTATAACGATTCCTTTGAATCATTTGAAAAAAAAAAAAATTATTTAAAATTAAAAAAAAAAAAAAAAGAAAAAAAAATTTCCCGTTATTCGTGACCACCACATTCGACATTATTTAACGTAGTCATTTAAAAAATATTTATTATTATCATCATCATCATTTTCACTTTTTTTTTTTTTGTTTTAATCACGACAAATTTCCCTTTTAAAATTTTATTCTCAATCCGAGTTTGAAAATTATTTAGAAATTGAACGACTAAATAAATTCCCTGCCGATAATTTTTAATGTGTTTACTTCGTCTCGGTCCTGCCACGACTGTTGCCAAATTTCCCTTTTTCCCTGTATTTATATCAAGCGAGGGAAATTTTTTCCCTTTCGTTGGGAATTTCGTCTGTATTTATTCGTAACCCGGTGTGACGACCGATCTTATCAATCTAATTGTAAACATCGAACATCCGGAAATCGATCGATTTTATCTCGATTCGGCGTTCGTCTCGTTGCATTTAATTTTATTTTTTCGATCGTTTGCGTCCCTCGCCATTTTCTCAACATTTTTAATTTTATTATAAATAAATAAAACAACAATTGCCAAATTTTTTCGTATTCGCGTTCTCGATTTTCGTTTATTTTCCCATTTCAACAATGGCGACTATTACATTTTTATTCTTTTTATTATATTTAATTATATTTGTAATATATATAAATTTCGTTATTAATTATATTTTTGTTCACAAGCTCAAACTAATTGAAATAATCTCGTAACGACGTGGCCATTTTGTTTTTTCAAACGAAATAAATTTTAAAAATTTACCGTTTGTTTAACAACAATCATCATCATCATTATTATTATCGTCTTATACAATCGATTCCGGTATTTAAATTCCCCCCCCCCCCGTATTTTCGTAGTTTTCGAAACGATGACGTCATAACAAATTTAAATTTTTTTCGAGAAAAACGGGACAAAAAAAAAATTTTAAATAAAAATGTCGAATTTAAGGTATTAATATCGGCGATATTAATTAACATTGATCGATAATATCGGATATTATTATTATTATTATTATTATTATCATTATTATTATTATTATTATTATCATTATTATTATTATTAATAAAATGATTAAAATATATTACGCGCGGCCTAGATAAATATTTCAAAATAGTTTTATAACTAATCGCAAGGTTCTTTGCTTACCCGCGTGTCCTTACTTTGATTTTTTTTTTTTTTTCTTCTTTTACCCGCGAATGTTTTAAATTTTTTTTTTTTTTTTTTTTTACGTAATAGACTAGATAAACTTGAATGTTGTTGTTTGTTTGTTTGTTTGTTTGTTTTCGACGAGTAATAATACGAATTATTATTTTTTGAAAAATTTTTTCCCCATTATTTTCACGTGAGTTACGAAACAAACAAACAAACGAAAAAAATGGCGTATTTTTAAATTTCGAAAAAGCGCGCGTAAATATGAGGGTCGGTAAATAAACAAACAGACGAAGAGACAGACAGAAAGACAGACAACCGGAAAAATAATTAAAACGCATGCAAAATATTAACGGTTAATTATTATTATTATTATTATTATTAGCAACGGCGACGGTGTGACGTCAATGATGACGTCGATGATGACGATGATTATTGTTAATATTATTATTATTATTATCATGTGTAAAGAGTTAGGGTGTACAGAATTTAAAAAAAAATATAAAAAAATTAGTCGGAAAAGAAAGGACTTACCAAGGCCGACGTAACCCTTGACCCCTCCAAGATTTCTCACCCTAAAAATGCTTGATTTTTTGAATTGGCAGTTGATAGAAAAGCCAAAATCCGAGTCGAGTACGCACGTGCATTGTCCCCCCCGCCAAGACAAAGCTGTAAAATATACAGGCCGTTATTATATTATTATAGGAAAGGGAGGGCGGAAAATTTTCTTCTTTTTTTTTTTTTTTTAAAATAATTATCATTATTATTATTATTAATATAAAAAAAGTTTATCCTTTTTTTTTTTTTTTTTTTTATAATGATTAGTTGCCGACAGATAAATAATAATAATAATAAGAAGTAGGTAAAATAAATAGATGAAAAATCAATCTATGAAATGTTATTGATGCTGCCACGACGTTTAAAATCGTGACGAATACGTTACGATGACGTCACGCACGTAATTAATTAATTAATTATTGAATGAATGAATGAAGTAAAACATGCGCGTGACGTGTAAATAGAATAAAAGAGAAAGAGATAGAAAATATTTCAACCCTTTTTTATTTTAAATTTTAAAATTTTTTCGCGCGCTTTTGACGTATGCACGCACGCACACACACCGTCGGTAGAAAAAAAAAATTACTTTCACCGAATTATTATTATTATTGTTGTTGTTGTTGTTAATTTTTTTTATTTATTTACAAAATAAAAACGTATTAATAATAAGAACGGAGAAAGTAAAACGTTTTGTATACAAAAAATAAAAATAAAAAAAACATTTTCGATATTTGCCATAAAAGTGTAGTAAGCGAGTGAAAATTTTATTTCATATTTTGTCCGCAACGAGGCGTTCGAGTCAGAGTGTACAGGGAAAAATTTCCCTTTCAATTTTCCCTTTTTATTTTCCCTTTCTTATACGTTATTAACCGTTCTCCCGAAAAACATATTAAGAAATAATAATAATAATAATAATGAGAACGTTAATTTAATTTAATTTAGAAAAAAAAAAGTGACGGACGACTCTCACACGCGCGCGTCAGAATTAATAATAACCGTTACGATTTCCCGCGAAAAATTTTTTTTTTTTTTTGTTTTCTCGTGGTTTTCCTCATACTTTCTCTAAAATTAAATTCGGGTGATTCGTTTTCGAAAATTCTAATGTTAAAATACGTAATTTTAACGGTCGTAATTGTTTGTTTAAAAAAAAAAAAAAAAAAAAATTTTTTTAAAAATGAAAATCGTACGGAAAAATAATGATAGACATTTTACGGAAAGGAAGTAGTAGAAAGTTTTTTTTTTTTTAACGTAAAAACTTAATTTATAAGTAAATGATTTGTCGCACGAAATGTTTTTAACCGATCCGTGAAATCATCGTCATCGTCATTATTATTATTATTATTATTCGAACGTCGCGTTTTTTAAATTTA